TTTTCCAAAACAAGAATGGTGGAATTCACACTAGGATAATGCAGAATGAGGCAATTGCTCTGCTCTCTTTCTTCCTCTTTTTCTGTCTTAGTTGCCTCTTGGAGCTTTGTGAGCTCCTCAGAAGAAGTAGTTGGATGAATGGACATCCTTTTGGGGTCATCCTGAACCACTTCCTCCTTCTGGCTTCTTTAGATAGCCCCTGTCCATCCCACTGGAATAAAAGGTAAAAGTTCCCCTCGCACATGTATGCTAGTCATTCCCGACTCTAGGGGGCGGTGCTCATCTCTGTTGCAAAGCCAAAGAGCCAGCGCTGTCCGAAGATGTCTCCGTAGTCATGTGGCATGACTAAATCTCAAAGGGGCACGGAATGCTGTTCCCTTCCCGCCAAAGGTGGTTCCTATTTTTCTACTTGCATTTTGACGTGCTTTCGAACTGCTAGATTGACAGAAGCTGGGACAAGTCATGGGAGCTCACTCCATTAGGTGGTGCTAGGGATTCAAACCACCGAACTGCCGACCATTCTGATCGACAAGCTCAGCGTCTTAAGCCACTGAGCCACCGCGTCCCTATCTTCAATTCTTATCTCCCCTTAATTACTCTGGACTGTTAGTACTTCAGATTCTTCTAGAGAGCTTAAGCTTACAATAAATCTTTATACACATTTGAACGGCCCGGATCTCCTGATTTCCCTGGTACTTGACCGTTGGTCCATGGATGCCGAGCCTACCCAATAAATCTGTCCCTCCTGTCCCCCCCCCATCTCCTGAATTCCGAGTGAAGTGTGGTAGCGCAGTGGGATTCTCCCCGCCAGGAGGGAACTCAAGAGGTCCAAGTCAGAAATAATGTATAACATCATCCCGCCCGCCACGTTTCCTGGAGAGGAGAAGAACTCGCACCCTGGGAGGCAACTGGAGCAATATTTTTCTAACTTGGCATGTCTCGTTCCTCCTCACAAGTCAGTACCCCCTACTTTGGAAAAAGCAGAAAGGAAAATGTTAGTATTAAAACATCCCCCATTGTTCGGCTGCTGGTTTTCTTCCCAAACACGCCCCGATTACCACCAACATCCAAATGAGAAGCCGAGGGGAGAAAAAAAGGGGGAGAAAAAAGAGGAGAAAAGAGAATAAAAGGCATTCTGTAGTCTCACTCAGGCCTTTTCCTCCACCCTTTCGGCTCCCGCGCCAGCTTTTTTGAGTCGCCAGACAAGAAAAAATTGAAGGCGCAGAAAAAAAAGATACAGAGAGAGTGAGAGAGAGAGAAACCTTAGAAAACGGAGAAGGCCATTCACCGCCATCTTCTCAATGGCCAACGCCAGGTTCTCACAGCACCCTCCTTTTGCAAACATTTGTCACGGGCCGCTTCACAAAGGCGCGAGAGAGAAAGAAACAAGGAGGAGAGGAAAGGGGGTGGAAGCGGGAGGGGAAAAGGGGTGAAAGGAACAGGTTGGCCCTTTGGAGGGAGAGAAAGGCGAAGGAGAGGAAATAAATAAATAAAAATCCCAGCCATCGAGCGGTCCTTTTTGGAGTGGTCTGCTTGGGAAAGACGCATCCCCACCGAAGCTGAATTTTAAATTGGGGGGCCATACAATGGGCTTGGTTTCCTCCCACCCCACACCGTTGTTGTTTGGTGTGTGTGTGTGTGTGTGGAGAGAGGAAGCTGTGTCCTCCAAACAGCCTGATGTTTATTCATGAGGTGGCCCAGCGTTGTCCATTCCCGGTTCATTGTCTTCAGTTATCGATCACGAGCGATCAGGGTGGGAAGCGTCTATGGAGCATGGTGAAAACGGCTGAGGGGAAGGGGCATTAAATGAAGATGTGGAAGAAGGCAGGAAAAGGGGGGGGACCAAGATGGAGAGGAGCAGATGACATCTGCCTGCTGATCAAACTTCCTTCCTTCCTTCCTCCCTCCCTCCCTCCCTTCCTTGTTGTCACAAAATCTTCTTTCCTTCATCCCTCCCTCCCTCCCTTCCTTATTCTCACAAAATCCTCCTTCTTTCTTTCCTTCTTTCCTTTCCTCCCTTTCTTGTTTTCACAAAATCCTCCTTTNAGAACAGGAAGCTCCTGTTCGTATTGTATTGTGTAAATGTGGTGTACGTCTTGTGTGTGTGTATTTTACGTTTGTTAATTTTAAAAAAAATTGGAAAAAAATACATGTAAGACCTGACCTAGTGGAAATCATGTATTTTCACTCATCAGTTGCCAATTGCTAACCAAACTCTTGTTCTCACTCTCTGATGACCAACCTTCAATGACAAAGAAGCATTTGTGATACATCTAAGCAATTGTAAACCTGCTCTAAAGAGCTTTGTTTGTTGAAGGACCTTCAGCTGGACTAAGGACCAATGATGGCTCCATAAAGAAATTGTACCAATGATATTCCTAAAATGGTGTTCTGGTATCACCACCATCACACCCCATGTGGAAAAATGTCGGCACCATAACGAGTTTCTGCTTGTATGTAATTGGCCTGCCATGGCCCAGAAAGCACCATGCCACTCCAAGAATTCAAAAGATGTTATCCTGTTCTTTTATGTCCATCAATGAGACATTTGTGCAAGTTAGACATGTTTGCAAAGACCATTATTATCTTTCTCTTTTGGTGGTTCGTTTGTATGCGTTCCTTTTGCAGAGCTGCACAAATATCCTACCAAGGCGAGCAACTAACGTTTGCACCAGACACCACAGGATTGAGTAGTAGGTTAGGAACAAAATGAGAGTTTTCAAGAGCTGATAGATTAAGTGTCATATTCTTTTCAAAGGCACTTCCTTCACCTGTACATTCTGGTGCTCCTTCAGAAATGGTTTATTGCTCACTTCGTCTAAGATATTAGGTTGAGTCCATTTGGGTAGCATACTGGGCACCTGAAAAGAATGTTGAAGTTCATCTTCAGTAAGGAAATATTTCAGAAATAGTAATTACTTCATCTGCACAAGTCCCCCATTCCTTACAGTCACATTAAGCAACTGCAGACTGGACAGAGATGACAGGTTTGACCACAGATACTGATAAAGAGAACTGATCACATTGAGAAAGGCCACAATAATTGGTGATGTCAAAAATATAATATCTTCCCCAGAGGGCAGATCTTCCTCCAAACCACCTCCAAGGGGCAGAAATTAGAGGCGTACATTGGACATCACCTAGAATCCTTACCTTCAATAGTTGCTGCCCTTTCTTCATTACTTCGTAACCTGCTTAAAAACAAAGATTCTGTTTAGATATTCCGTCCAAGCTCAGGGAGAATGTGAAGAAAAACAAACTTATTCTTTAAAAGCTACTAGTCTGCATCTTGATTAATGTTTTATATCCAACAATACAGAACATCAATTCCAAAGATGATTTAGAATAGCCGCCTCAAGCTGACACCCTTTCGGATTCAATGGATTACAAACCCACTAATCACATGAGCTCGATATGTTGAGGGTAAAGCCTGAAGGGAAATTGATAAAAACTCTAACAACACCTGGCAAACAAGAAAAGAACATAGCTGGTTTATTTAAAGAGCTTATGTGCCTCTTACATCAACAAAGCCTCTGAGGCTCAGGAGGAACAGGAGTAATACTAGACATAAACAATGTACAAATGAAAAAGAAGTTAATTAGTGGTTCATCTCAAAAGTATCAGAAGAGTCTGGCTTACAATGAGTCTAAGAAGACATTCTGCCTTGAGGAACTCATTAATCAAAGACAACTGGAACCTCCTATAAATTTTTCAAGATTCCATACCTAACCTCTAAACTTTGCATTAAAACCATACCAGTTAATTCCTGCTTCCTTGAAGGTGCCCTATGAGCAGCTTACAAACCCTGTTTTCATAAATAAACCACCAGCTTGCTTGCTTTATTTATTGATTGATTATATTTGTGTAGCTGCCCATCTTAAAGTCTCGGCGGCTCAGAGTAACAATAAAATGATAGAACCATAAAACGCAGAATCATTAAGTAAACAATTACAAAGTTTCATGGCAGAAAGGAAGAAAATAGCTCTGTCAACTGTCCAACTAACAAACCCAATAAAAGCAGGCATTTTCAGGAACTTTAAAATCCCAAAAGCAAAACTTTATTGAGTACATCATTTCAGCACTGAAGAAAGCAAAACCAACTCTAAATTTTCCTGCACAACTCTGCATAGTTAAAAATGAGTTTCATCCCCTCCTCCCATGGAACAGGTCACCTTGTCCAGTTAGGAATCAGCCTTTTGTTCCACATCTTGGCCAACACCTGAAGAAGTGTCCTTGGCTCTCACAGCTGAAGACTGTGACCTCTGCATTCCATCTAACCCTTCCCTCCCCCCAGTTCTTTGGCAGAATGAAAAGCAATAATAGTCACAGGAAGCTTAAGTGTTTTTCAATCTTGACAAGCTCCATATCAATTAACACCCACCCACCCCCAAATTACAAGAGTCACCAAGTTTTGTCATCTAGGGGAAAAAAACAGTTTTGGTGGCTTTTGGGATCTTAGGGCAAAGGCACTTCCAAAGAAGGAGGGCAACGACTAAAAAAAAACCCTTCTGAGCCTCTGACAATGAACAAAAGGATCAAATTCCACCAGATCTTATCAGATGGGCAGAAACAACGAGGAGATGGCAGTATCATGAGTGAGGAAGCAATTTCCCCTGACAATATAAAAGAAAGCTGATGTACCTTTGCTGGATTCTTCAAAGGCAGCCTTAATCAGAGACAGGATTTCAGCATTGTCCCCAATTCGTGCATAATAAAAACCATCATGCCCTAGCGCATCAACCAGAGAAACATCGGCCCCATTTTTGAGCAAAACCTCTACAGCATCCTTACAGCCATATTCACAGCCCAACATCAAAGCGGTCCTGCAGGAGAAAGGAAAAAGCATGCAAATATAGTTCATGCCGGTTGCCAAGTCCCTGAATTTTGAACATGGGACCATGAGGTTGCTATGATAGTCCTAAGAGTGAGGATCACCTGTAAATCACTTTTTTCAGTGCCCTTGTAGCTTTGAGTGGTTGCTAAACAAATAGAACTGGAACAAACAGAATTATGAAAAAACTATGAAAGAAAAATTCAATATTGTAATGGGGGGGGGGAGTGCTCCAGAGGCAGATGCCCCTCTGATACCCTTTGGGCTTAGTTCCCTGTAGGCGGGGTGGGGGGGTGGAGGAACGCCTGGCACCTGGGGTCCTCAAGTGCCGCTGCTGCTTCTCCTCCCTTCCCCACTTGGGGAGCCGGAGGAGCCTGAAAGGAAAAAGGGAAAGGCAGCAACTGTGGGAGTTGGGAGCTCAGCCTGGTCAACCCAAATCCAAAGGCTCCCAACACGCGCATCATTGATGTATTATTTATTTATTAAGAAAATCTATGTGGCTGCTCAAGGTGACTTACAGAAGGGACTTATAGAAACACAGAAATTCTGTTTCTCCTGCCCCACAGGGCCAAGGAACAAGCCAGATCTTGACCGTCTGCTAATAGGTCAAGGCAGAAGCTTCCAGCAAGAAGACACTCCTCCTGGGTCCTGGAAGGTGGTCCTGATTCATGGAAGGATTGTGTGGGACATTCAGATATGCTTCTGGGCATGTGGTCCCACAAATGCCCTACTTATATGACATACAGGGCTTTAGAGGTGTAACTAGCACCTTGGACTGTTCTCAGAAGCCCACTGACAGCCAGTGCAGGTCACATAATACAGATGCCACATGGCTATTACAAAAGATACCCAAAACTATCCACCTCATTGCATTTTGAACCAATTATAGCTTCCACACAGTCTTCAAGGGCAGTCCACAAAGTGTTGAATAACCCACAAGGAAGTGAATGAGACATTAATGGCTAAGAACATCCCAGAAACAGGCAGAAGTGGCACATATTATGGAGTACACAAAGACTGCTCTGCCAAAGCTGCCAGCTTGCTCTTCTAGTAGGAGCTGTAAATCCAGGAGAACCTCCAAATTGGATACCAAATTCAAGGAAGGCAAGTCAAGATCTTTCTGAGTCAAGTATAAATATTTCCAGTTACAGAATCCACGGGGTCCAAAACTCACAATTTCTTGGTCTCAGTAGGGTTTTACTACAGAGAAACTAACTCTAATGTCTTCCAGAAGCATATAGGTAGATTATCTGCAGATGACTTGCAGGAAGATATCTTACCGATTTTGCTTATCTCTTGCATTAAGTTCAGCACCTCTATCCAGCAGAAACTGGCATATAGTTGGACGGCACATCTGAGTGGCCAGCACAAGTGGTGTCCTTCCATCCTGGCAAAAGAACAAGAAACTTGAACTTCTGGGAAAGAAATGGCAGGCAGCATCATGAAAAGGAGAGCTAATGCCTGTGCAGAATGAAGTACTGATAAGTAGACCTGTTCTTCGAGAATTCCTCCGCAGACAAGTGGTGGACTTGAGATCACCCAGAAGTGCTCCAGAAAGCTCACAAAGAGAATGCAGGACAGCCATCTTCAGTGTGTTTAGAGCGCCAGGAGAAAAGTGAAAGCCATCTTGCTCGAAGCACAATTGGTGCCTTTGAAACGTCATTAAGTACACATACAACACTTCCTTCAGAAACTGTTTGCTAACTGTTTTTCAGCTATGATTTTCCTTCAATCTTTAATGAAAAAAGTTTTAACTGCAAGTTTAAGAACTTTTTTAAAAAGACTTTTGGGAACAAACAGCAAAAGCAAGCTTCAATTTTAGAAAGTTGCAAATGGATTTAGGGTCCAGATAAATTTGAAATAAGATTTTATTCATTATAAAACAATCCTTCCCATGAGAAAATGTTTTTGTTTTGAATTTCTTTAAAAATAAGATATACAAGTAACAAATCAAGAAAGTGATTTAAATTTTCTTATATTGGATTTACAAAATAAGCTTGTTAACATTTTGAAGAATTTTGTGAGCAGGGACAAAGAAAAAATGAAAAGAAATCAAGTTTAGCAACATTATTTGAAAGCACTAAAGATTAAGACTGTTAGAAGTAAAAGGAAGAAATATAATTTGGTTTATTTGATCAAAGTTAAATAGGCAAGTTGTTATCTCCAATAATCCTTAATGGACTTTTGCTGACATCAGGACTGAAATGAGGTTTTATGGATTTGTTTAGACAAAAGAAGGAATACAGGAAGAAAAGATCATTTGTTGTATTTAAGCTACTAAATTTGTAGATAATGCAGGAGTCTCTTTTTCATTTACTTCATTCTTTATTATATTCTTATTTCTTTCTGTTCTATTTTTTTTTCTTTTCCACACGTTCTAATATTTTCCTTTTTTTTCTTTTGGTTTGTATTTGTTTTTATTGATGTACAGTGGTACCTTGGTACTCAACTGCTTTGAAACTCATCAAATTTGGTACTTGATGCATGTTGACATGAAAATCCTGTCCCAGTACTCATTGTTCATTTGGTACTCAATGCACAAACTTGTTAATGTCGGCTGCCTTATGACTCACTAAATTATTCCTTATAGGAAAAAAATGTTTGGTACTCATTGCACCTCCAAGAACCATATAAGGATGAGTACCACTGTAATTGTACTGTTTAATAAAATTTTATTTACTAAGAAAGAAAAAGCACCAGGAACTTGGCCATTCCTGAAAGAAGATTCTGAAAGAACTTACAGCATCTTTGGCATTCACCAAGGCTCCATGGTCACATAGCAACTGTATGCTGGATGTACAGTCCGACATTGCTTTGGGAAGCAAAACAACAGATATTACTGGTGGAAAATTCAAGGTTTAACTGCTGGTAGGTTATTTATTGGCTGCAGGATCCATGGAACAAGTCTCTGGACTGTTTTAATAATACCTACTAATATCTAATAGTCAATTTCTCAATCAGAATGCACCTGTTTCAAAGTACTGAGGTAATTAAAAAAGTTCCTTAACAATTATCATCCATCTTTTGGTGAAACATAAGCAGCATCTGCATTAATCATTGGCTTTTCCATGTTGTTAGTAGCTCTGCTAGTTTTCTCATTAAATTAGGAATCCTGGTTGCATATACAGCCTGTCCCTTACCCGCATCATGAAGAGCAGTCCGTCCTTGCAGATCCACATTTTCTGTTGAGCAGTTGTACTGTAGAAGAGCCAAGAGTATCTTATTACCATTGTGTTGAGATTCAATACCTTCAATATTTACCATTACAGTTTAATAATAACAAAATCTAAACCTGGCGACACGTCAAGCGGCATTTCAAATACATTTTCATTCAAAAATGTTACATGCATGGATCAGGAACACTCATTTAAGATGTCATTATGTAACATCCTACCTACAAAATCAGTCCATGAGCTCCACATGGATCTGTAAGGCTTCCTTTCCAGGTGTTTTCCCACCTGCCCCATGGAGAGATTTGCTACACACAAAACCTGCATTGACCTCCACTGACCTCCTCAAAGAAAAAGGACCCTGCATATGCAGAGAAATCACCTCTATCATGCAAAGTTATTCAGCTTCTGCTTAATTATTTTACATTTTTTTGAAATCCCACTGGACCTTTGATAACTACTATATATAGCTAATAAAGATCCTAAATTTTCCCCATGCAAAGAAATAAAATTCCCTATCATGCTTTCTTTTCGACATAACATTTAACAATTTGTCAACTATTTAATACCTGCAACAGTTTTTGCAGACAAAGTGCATGTCCATATTTTGCTGCTAAATGTAGAGCAGTCCTTCCTGAAGAGAAGAATTAACAAATAAATTCTGAACATAACCAGAATATATATGCTACATACATAAGCAAAGAAATGCCTATTCCCCCTCCCCAAACACCCAGAGATTTATACATATATAGTTAACCCTGTGTAACTCCAATTGCAGGTTAAATTGATTGCTGTATTTTAACTGCATTATATACCTCAAGGAAAAGAGAGAAAACTGGGTTTTTAAAAATTAATTTAAATTGATTTGTAGTGCAGAATAAATACTACCACACCCCTGTTTTGGTGGTTTTTTTGGGGGGGTGGGATCAATAAGATACTATAGTTCAAAGCAACAAAACAAGCACCATAGAACCCAACAGGCTTACACACAATACATTAGTTGGCCTTTCAAAGCTGTTTAAGTAACAACATGCAATTGTTCTTTTTAAACAAGGAAATCATACCTGCTATATCAGTGGCAACTATGTCAACTCCATGAACAAGAAGAGCATTCAGACAATCGAGGTTACCCTTTGAGGCTACAACATGGAATCTGATTGAAACAAAAGGGGGGGAATTAATGTCTTGATCACCTGCACAATTTCATTCTGTACAAGTAAATCCTACCGAGTCCAAGATAATTTGCTCCCAGTTCTAGAGCTGAAATTATTCCAATATGTGAGTTGGAAGAAATAAACATTATATAAGAAAAATATCCAAATAAATAACGTTCCAGTAGCTGCTGGACTTTAGAACATGACCTTCCTGAGCTCCAGCTAAAGTAGAATGAAATCCTGCACTTTTTATAACCCATTAATATATGCAACAACATGCCTGTAAAGCTTATGGTGTTGTTAGGATTGAATGATCGACCCCAATAGATTAAGGAGGGGAATCTTACTGAAGTGCGCAATCCCAACCAGGAAGTGGCCCTGTGAGATGCTGCCAGGGGGCAAAAGGTGTGCCAGACTCCTCACATAGACCAAGAATCCCCCAGAGCAGTGTGGGCACATTTTACTACCTTTCCTACCTTGTTTAGTTTTGAATAGCTGCCATGGCCCTTGAGCCCCCTAAGGCTTGATATTGCCAAGAGAGGCTACCCTGAAGTCCATTCCACTAGCTCTGTTCCTAGGCTCACTTGCCACAAAGGATTCAAGAAACCTTATACAGAATATTCCAAGCAATCATCATTCTCACCCTTTTCAACCTCAGAGAGAAAGTCATTATGTGGAGTCATTTACAGCTGATATTCTTTGGATGTTAGATGATTTGGAAATTACCAACATCTTTCCTTTTTAGTGAGTGCCTCAGGGAAGGGCCTGCAGGGCTGGCACAGGTCGTCTGGTTTAGGTTTAGGTTTATTGAATTTATATGCTGCCCTTCTCCCTTCTCTCCCTATATGCTGTACTAATGTTGTATGCCAGGGCAGTGTACAACATTAAAAAAACACATATTACAAAAGTTAAAAAGAATTAAATAGAATATCCCAAACAAACCCAATTCGGATTAACAATAACATTTTTTAAAAAATTCAAATGATTAAAATTAACAATGATCAATAATTTATTTTGTTTTGTTCAGGCCAGGCAGGCTTGCTGGAAAAGCCAACTTTTTAGGGCGCATCGGAAGGACCGAAGGTCGGGGATTAT